TTAATTTTTTTATATATATTGTATACATTATGGTTTCTATACTACAAATTATTACATTATATTTGTGTGTTTAATTTTAGTTTATTTGTTTTATTATTTAATATGAAAAAATAGTTTGAGTTTTTTATGCTTTCCAATAATTCTTTGTTCATTTTCGTTTATTTTGCTTTTTTCAACTTGTATATGTTAATATTTTTTAACTATAGTTTATTTTAGACTTAAAAGGGTATTAGTAGTTTCTGTGTGTGTGTGTTAGATTTTGTGGTTTATAGTTTTTTTCAAAGTGTGTAATTAATTTTGTGGTTTTCTAAGTAGAAAGTATTTCATCATTTCCATAAAACACAGTTTTAACGAATTCCAATTACAGGGGCCAACAAATTTTTAATCCAGAGACCAAAGTTCTCTTTCTGTAGGATTGAGCTGCGATGAATTCGACTAAACTTTTCGAGATAACGAGGTTTTAGAGATATCAAGTCTATTTTCTTGCCAACAGTCTAGTCTATAGTCCCGACTATAGTATAGTCTATAGACTTGTCTATAGTATAGTCTATAGTCTAGTCTAGTCTAATCTATAGTCTAGTCTATAGTATTGTCTATAGTCTAGTCTATAGTCTAGTCTATAGTCTAGTCTATAGTGTAGTCTTTAGTCTAGTCTTTAGTCTAGTCTAGTAGTCTATAGTCTAGTCTATAGTAGTCTATAGTCTAGGTCTATAGTTAGTCTATAGTCTAGTCTATAGTCTAGTCTATAGTCTAGTCTATAGTCTAGTCTATAGTATAGTCTATAGTCTAGTCTATAGTCTAGTCTATAGTCTAGTCTATAGTCTAGTCTATAGTCTAGTCTATAGTCTAGTCTATAGTCTAGTCTATAGTCTAGTCTATAGTCTAGTCTATAGTCTAGTCTATAGTCTAGTCTATAGTCTAGTCTATAGTTAGTCTATAGCTAGTCTATAGTCTAGTCTATAGTCTAGTCTATGTCTAGTCTATAGTCTAGTCTATAGTATAGTCTATAGTCTAGTCTATAGTCTAGTCTATAGTCTAGTCTATAGTCTAGTCTATAGTCTCGTCTATAGTCTAGTCTATAGTCTAGTCTATAGTCTAGTCTATAGTCTAGTCTATAGTCTAGTCTATAGTCTAGTCTATAGTCTAGTATAGTCTATAGTCTAGTCTATAGTCTAGTCTATAGTCTAGTCTATAGTCTAGTCTATAGTCTAGTCTATAGTCTAGTCGATAGTCTAGTCTATAGTCTAGTCCTATAGTCTAGTCTATAGTCTAGTCTATAGTCTAGTCTACTGTCTAGTCTATAGTCTAGTCTATTGTCTAGTCTATAGTCTAGTCTATAGTCTAGTCTATTGTCTAGTCTATAGTCTAGTCTATAGTCTAGGTCTATAGTCTAGTCTATAGTCTAGTCTATAGTCTGTCTATAGTCTAGTCTATAGTCTAGTCTATAGTCTAGTCTATAGTCTAGTCTATAGTCTAGTCTATAGTCTAGTCTATAGTTTAGTAGTCTATTGTCTAGTCTAGTCTATAGTCTAGTCTATAGTCTAGTCTATAGTCTAGTCTATATTCTAGTCTATATTCTAGTCTATAGTCTAGTCTTAGTCTAGTCTACAGTCTAGTCTATAGTCCTAGTCTATAGTCTAGTCTATTGTCTAGTCTATTGTCTAGTCTATAGTCTAGTCTATTGTCTAGTCTATTGTCTAGTCTATAGTCTAGTCTATAGTCTAGTCTATAGTCTAGTCTATAGTCTAGTCTATAGTCTAGTCTATAGTCTAGTCTATAGTCTAGTCTATAGTCTAGTCTATAGTCTAGTCTATAGTCTAGTCTATAGTCTAGTCTATAGTCTAGTCTATAGTCTAGTCTATAGTCTAGTCTATAGTCTAGTCTAGTCTAGTCTATAGTCTAGTCTATAGTCTAGTCTATAGTCTAGTCAATATTCTAGTCTATATTCTAGTCTATAGTCTAGTCTATAGTCTAGTCTATAGTCTAGTCTATAGTCTAGTCTATTGTCTAGTCTATTGTCTAGTCTATAGTCTAGTCTATAGTCTAGTCTATAGTTTAGTCTATTGTCTAGTCTAGTCTATAGTTTAGTCTATTGTCTAGTCTATAGTCTATTCTATAGTCTAGTCTATAGTCTAGTTTAGTCTATAGTCTAGTCTAGTTTAGTCTACAGTCTAGTCTATAGTTTTTAGTTTCGTCTATAGTCCACCCTATGGTCTAGAGCATAGTTTAGTCTAAAGATTAGTCTATTATAGTTTAGTCTATAGTTTATGTTATAGCCTAGTCTATAGTCTAGTTGTCAGCCTATTAGTAACGTCTGGGTTACGCCTTTTTAAATTTTGTTGCACTGTGTTATTATAGATTTAATTTTGATTTATTAAACAATTTCTACAAAAATTTTTTGTCAAATATTTGAATTTTAAACAAGGGTCTATTTAAACCTCTAAAGTCGTCTTAAACCGAGTTTTACTTTATGAAGTTTCTAGTTTTTTTTGTAATTTTTAAAAATTTAATTTATTTTATTTTTATTTAATTTGTGTGTAAATATTTTAAATGTTTTGTGTAGCTTTTTTGTTGTTATTGTATTCTATATAAATATTGTGTTGATTGTTTATTAACAATATTAATTTATTGCTAAATTTTTTCCCTTAATAAAAATAAAAGGGTTTTTATATTTATTTTTCCTCTTCTTATTGATTTACGTTTTTTTCTTTTGTAATAATTAATTATATTATAAAATAACAATCATGATTTAATGATTTATGTAGTTTTTGTTGTCTTTTTTATTATAAACATTTATTACTCAATATTTCCTTTACTAGTTTGTTTTTTCATTTGGCGGCATTCGTTTATTTTTTTACTTTTTATTTAGTGATATGAGACAGATGTTTTCTTTTTCATATTATTTATTATACTTTGCACATTTTTAGCATTTAGCTTTATTATCTTTTACTTTCTTTTTCTTGTAAATAAACACGCTGGCTTAAGGGTTTGGTATAGATCCAATTTTCACCCACTGGTTTGAAATACTATAATAATATAATTTTTTTAATTAAAAATTGTTTAAATTATAATGTTAAATTTGTATAATTCTTAATTATGTACTCACCTTATGTTCCCAGGACATTTCAGTTTCTTTTCTAGCCTTGGCTTCTTCTCTCTGTATTTGTTCGACTTTGCATTTAGCATTTGTTGCCTTTTCAATGTCATTGAATCTTAACGGGAGGGAAAATAAAGGAATTAGTAATGTAATAATTGAAAACTAAAAAAATATATTTTTGATAGGAAATTTCCACTTCATAGTCCAGCCTATATCTACCATATAGTCTAGTCTAAAGTCAAATCTAGTCTAGTCTATAGTCCAATCTATAGTCTAGTCCATAGTCTATTCTATAGTCCCTATCTATAGTCTAGTCTATAGTCAAGTCTATAGTCAAGTCTATAGTCTAGTCTATAGTCTAGTCTATAGTCTAGTCTATAGTCTAGTCTATAGTCTAGTCTATAGTCTAGTCCTATAGTCTAGTCTATAGTCCTAGTCTATAGTCTAGTCTATAGTCTAGTCTATAGTCTAGTCTATAGTCTAGTCTATAGTCTAGTCTATAGTCTAGTCTATAGTCTAGTCTAGTAGTCTAGTCTATAGTCTAGTCTATAGTCTAGTCCTATAGTCTAAGTCTATAGTCTAGTCTATAGTCTAAGTCTAGTCTATAGTCTAGTCTATAGCTCTAGTCTATAGTCTAGTCTATAGTCTAGTCTATAGTCTAGTCTATAGTCTAGTCTATAGTCTAGTCTATAGTCTAGTCTATAGTCTAGTCTATAGTGTAGTCTATAGTCTAGTCTATAGTGTAGTCTATAGTCTAGTCATAGTCTAGTCTATAGTCTAGTCTATAGTCTAAGTCTATAGTCTAGTCTATAGTCTAGTTTAACAGCAATTGTCTAACAACAAATATGTTGTCGTCTCTTAATGTCTTTTTCGTTTTATCTTTTTCATTTGAAAATATTCTTTTTCCTAGTCTATAGTCTAGTCTATAGTGTAGTCTATAGTCTAGTCTATAGTCTAGTCTATAGTCTAGTCTATAGTCTAGTTCTATAGTTCTAGTCTATAGTCCTAGTCTATAGTCTGTCTTCTTAGTCCGTTATAGTCCAGTCTATAGTCCAGTCTATAGTCCAGTCTATAGTCTAGTCTATAGTCTAGTCTATAGTCTAGTCTATAGTCTAGTCTATAGTCTAGTCTATAGTCTAGTCTATAGTCTAGTCTATAGTCTAGTCTATAGTCTAGTCTATAGTCTAGTCTATAGTATAGTCTATAGTAGTCTATGGTCTAGTCTATAGTCTAGTCTATAGTCTAGTCTATAGGTCTAGTCTATAGTCTAGTCTATAGTCTAGTCTATAGTCTAGTCTATAGTCTAGTCTATAGTCTAGTCTATAGTCTAGTCTATAGTCTAGTCTATAGTGTAGTCTATAGTCTAGTCTATAGTGTAGTCTATAGTCTAGTCTATAGTTTAGTCTATAGTCTAGTCTATAGTCTAGTCTATAGTCTAGTCTATAGTCTAGTCTATAGTCTAGTCTATAGTCTAGTCGATAGTCTAGTCTATAGTCTAGTCTATAGTCTAGTCTATAGTGTAGTCTATAGTCTAGTCTATAGTGTAGTCTATAGTCTAGTCTATAGTATAGTCTATAGTCTAGTCTATAGTCTAGTCTATAGTCTAGTCTATAGTCTAGTCTATAGTCTAGTCTATAGTCTAGTCTATAGTCTAGTCTATGTCTAGTCTATAGTCTAGTCTATAGTCTAGTCTATAGTCTAGTCTATAGTCTAGTCTATAGTCTAGTCTATAGTCTAGTCTATAGTCTAGTCTATAGTCTAGTCTATAGTCTAGTCTATAGTCTAGTCTATAGTCGTCTATAGTCTAGTCTATAGTCTAGTCTATAGTATCTCTATAGTCTAGTCTATAGTCTAGTCTATAGTCTAGTCTATAGTCTAGTCTATAGTCTAGTCTATAGTAGTCTATAGTCTAGTCTATAGTCTAGTCTATAGTCTAGTATAGTCTAATAGTCTAGTCTATAGTCTAGTCTATAGTCTAGTCTATAGTCTATAGTCTAGTCTATAGTCTAGTCTATAGTGTAGTCTATAGTCTAGTCTATAGTCTAGTCTATAGTCTAGTCTATAGTCTAGTCTATAGTCTAGTCTATAGTCTAGTCTATAGTCTAGTCTATAGTCTAGTCTATAGTCTAGTCTATAGTCTAGTCTATAGTCTAGTCTATAGTCTAGTCTATAGTCTAGTCTATAGTCTAGTCTATAGTCTAGTCTATAGTCTAGTCTATAGTCTAGTCTATAGTCTAGTATAGTCTAGTCTATAGTCTATCTATAGTCTAGTCTATAGTCTAGTCTATAGTCTAGTCTATAGTCTAGTCTATAGTCTAGTCTATAGTCTAGTCTATAGTCTAGTCTATAGTCTAGTCTATAGTCTAGTCTATAGTCTAGTCTATAGTCTAGTCTATAGTCTAGTCTATAGTCTAGTCTATAGTCTAGTCTATAGTCTAGTCTATAGTCTAGTCTATAGTCTAGTCTATAGTCTAGTCTATAGTCTAGTCTATAGTCTAGTCTATAGTCTAGTCTATAGTCTAGTCTATAGTCTAGTCTATAGTCTAGTCTATAGTCTAGTCTATAGTCTAGTCTATAGTCTAGTCTATAGTCTAGTCTATAGTCTAGTCTATAGTCTAGTCTATAGTCTAGTCTATAGTCTAGTCTATAGTCTAGTCTATAGTCTAGTCTATAGTCTAGTCTATAGTCTAGTCTATAGTCTAGTCTATAGTCTAGTCTATAGTCTAGTCTATAGTCTAGTCTATAGTCTAGTCTATAGTCTAGTCTATAGTCTAGTCTATAGTCTCGTCTATAGTCTAGTCTATAGTCTAGTCTAGTCTAGTCTATAGTCTAGTCTATAGTCTAGTCTATAGTCTAGTCTATAGTCTAGTCTATAGTCTAGTCTATAGTCTAGTCTAGTCTATAGTCTAGTCTATAGTCTAGTCTAAGTCTAGTCTATAGTCTAGTCTATAGTCTAGTCTATAGTCTAGTCTAGTCTAGTCTATAGTCTAGTCTATAGTCTAGTCTATAGTCTAGTCTATAGTCTAGTCTAGTCTATAGTCTAGTCTATAGTCTAGTCTATAGTCTAGTCTATAGTCTAGTCTAGTCTAGTCTAGTCTAGTCTATAGTCTAGTCTATGTCTAGTCTATAGTCTAGTCTATAGTCTAGTCTATAGTCTAGTCTATAGTCTAGTCTATAGTCTAGTCTATAGTCTAGTCTATAGTCTAGTCTATAGTCTAGTCTATAGTCTAGTCTATAGTCTAGTCTATAGTCTAGTCTATAGTCTAGTCTATAGTCTAGTCTATAGTCTAGTCTATAGTCTAGTCTATAGCTAGTCTATAGTATAGTCTATACTGTAGTCTATAGTGTAGTCTATAGTATAGTTTATAGTCTGGTCTATAGTCTAGTCTATAGTCTAGTCTTGTCCAGCTATAGTCTAGGTCTATAGTCTAGTCTATAGTCTAGTCTATAGTCTAGTCTATAGTCTAGTCTATAGTCTAGTCTATAGTCTAGTCTATAGTCTAGTCTATAGTCTAGTCTATAGTCTAGTCTAGTCTATAGTCTAGTCTATTAGTCTAGTCTATAGTCTAGTCTAGTCTAGTCTATAGTCTAGTCTATAGTCTAGTCTAAGTCTAGTCTATAGTCTAGTCTATAGTCTAGTCTAGTCTATAGTCTAGTCTATAGTCTAGTCTATAGTCTAGTCTATAGTCTAGTCTATAGTCTAGTCTATAGTCTAGTCTATAGTCTAGTCTATAGTCTAGTCTATAGTCTAGTCTATAGTCTAGTCTATAGTCTAGTCTATAGTCTAGTCTATAGTCTAGTCTATAGTCTAGTCTATAGTCTAGTCTATAGTCTAGTCTATAGTCTAGTCTATAGTCTAGTCTATAGTCTAGTCTATAGTCTAGCCTATAGTCTAGTCTATAGTCTAGTCTATATTCTAGTCTATAGTCTAGTCTATAGTCTAGTCTATAGTCTATAGTCTAGTCTATAGTCTAGTCTATAGTCTAGTCAATAGTCTAGTCAATAGTCCAGTCTAGTCTAGTCATGTTTATAGTCAAGTTTATAGTTTAGTCTATAGTCTTATCTATAGTCTAGTCTATAGTCAAGTCTATGGTCTAGTCTATAGTCTGGTCTATAGTATAGTCTATAGTCTACTCTATTGTCTATTCTAGTTTATAGCCATGACCATTGACTAATCTACAGTCTGGTCTGAAGCAGACTAGTCTAAAGTATAGTCTATAGTCGAGTCTATTGTCTGGTCTATAGTCTAGTCTGGTGTATAGTCTATTCTATAGTCTAGTCCATAGTTTAGTCTAAAGTCTAGTCTATAGTCTAGTCTCTATAGTCTGGTTTATAGTCTAGTCTATATCTAGTCCATAGTATAGTTTATTGCCGTAGTCTATTCTACAGTCTGTTATCTAATCAATTTGCAAAATTTCTAATTATAATTAATTGAGTTGCCATAATAACGATTGTAATCTTCATTTTGGCCTAAAAATATTACCAATAACAATAACTTTACAAAATAAAAATGTTTATATAAATAATGAATAATAATAATAATAATAATAAAAAACAATCATTACTTGAGTCCAGCGGTTACTTCCTTCCAAACACGTCTTGATTCGTATTCTTCCTGTTCAACGATTGGTCGAACTTGTTTCTTAAATATTGGTATACGATTTACATCGACAAATACTTCAGTTTTCTAGAAAATTAAAAAATTTTGCAAAAAGAAGACAAAACAAATTTCCCATTGAATTTAACATGACATTTCTGTTTTTTTTTTTTTTTTTTTTTTTTTTTTTTGTTGCAACAAATTTTCAATTATATTAATTTTAAAAAGTATTTCGATAACACACGCACTCTACACAACCAATATACAAAACGGATACAATTAACTATGGTCTAAAAAAAGGTTTTATAGAGGTATAAAACAGATACAAGCACCAATACACCAACACACACACACACATACACTCAATAGTTTAAACATAAACAATTTAATTTTCTAGATAAACATAGAAATTTAGACCAGAATATTTAAGAGAGAAGTACAAGTAATCGACAGTTGCGGTGTAGTGGGGGGGGGGAGAAATGTTGGGGGTTTATAGTTTTAAACTTAGTTTATAGTATGATAATAAGCTTAAATACTTGTGGTCAGTGAGTGAGAGTAGGAAGGAGCGGGAAAGGCGGATGAGGAAGAGTATGTGTTAAAGAAATTTTGGTTTAAGGATTTGTTTAAAAGTGTAAGTAGAAAAAAGATAAAAATATATAAAAATTATTAATTTTAATTTATATAAAATAGTAATACTTGTAATACAGGAGGACAAATACGTTATTAAATATAAAAATATATTCTACAATTAGTAGAAAGTTATTGTATTAAGTTATTTCAAAACCATGTTAATATGTCATACATTCCTAGAGGAATGTATTCGATTTCCAAAACAGATGGTTTTGATGTACATAATTTGTTTAAGAATATCAAAATATTACATACATAAGCAGCATACAAATATTGTATATGAATTTAACTTTTTTGTTTAAAATTTTCTTAAAATCTCTCTCAATTCTTTAAGAAAAGTTGACTTCATATACAAAAATAAACCAAAAAGCTAATGCAAAAATATAATTGAAAATAATATTGAAAACAATAGTTGGAATATAAAAAGAGAGTAAAAAAGAAATACATTACATGTGTATCATGCCATTTAGCTTCCATCAAACCACTCCATTCGCCAGCAATTGAAACAAATGGTTTCTTTTCATTGGGAGAATAAATCTAAATAAAATTAACAAAAAATTTTAATAAAAACAAATAAAACAATCAAAATCTGTATTATCAACAAAACAAAAAAACTTACCTCACAAGTAACTTTATTACGTTTACCGCCATAAAATGGTTTAGTCAAAAATTCCACTTGAGCATAATAGCCAGTTTGAGGACATTTGATTTCCACCGAACCACCCAATTCAATCCAGGGTATAGTTAAAATAGAACTACCAATAAGATACAAAATAATCTCATAAATACCAAGAAAAGTAAAGAAAACAACAATAAAAAAAAAACTCACCGCCCATAACCATTGGGAAAGGTAACAATATATTCTTCACCACGATCTACTAGGGTAACAACACCTTCGCCAATATTATGTACACCCACTGATAAACCCAAAAATTTTGATTTAGTCCAGACATGAGCAGAGAAAGTGATTTTCTTATTAAAATGTTCGGCATAAAACGCAGAAACTAAAAAAAATACATAATTTTCATTAAATTTGTTTTTAATTTTTAGGCATTAAGTTTCAATACATACTGGGTGGATGATGTGAAACTTGTTCGGCTAAAAATGTTAACTGATCTCTTCGGCACCAGGGTATAGGACCATCTTGAACATTATTTTCATCGGGATTTTCACCTGCAAACGTACAATTCAATAAATTTACTGGTTTACTTTAAATTCTTAACTTTGTTAGTTTATGATTAAAAAAAATTTTTGATAAATTTAAAATTTATAGAAAATTTTCAATAAATTTTACATCTGAAGAACATTTTCGAAAAATCTAGTATTTAAAGATTTTTTTTAGAAAAATTTCGTTACAATGTTTATAGAAAATTTGTGAAATGTTATCTTTTTCATAGAATATTTTCGAAATTTTCACATTTTATAGAAAATTTTCGAAATATTCACATTTTTTAGAAAATTTTCGAAATTTTCACATTTTATAGAAAATTTTCGAAATTTTCACATTTTATAGAAAAGTTTCGAAATTTTCACATTTTATAGAAAAGTTTCGAAATTTTCATATTTTATAGAAAATTTTCGAAATTTTCACATTTTATAGAAATTTTTCGAAATTTTCACATTTTAGAAAAATGTTTCGAAATTTTTACTTTTTAGAAAAATTTTTCGAAATTTTTACTTTTTATAGAAAATTTCGAAATTTCTACAGGCTATAGTCAAGTCTATAGTCAAGTCCATTAGTCAAGTCTATAGTCAAGTCCATTAGTCAAGTCTATAGTCAAGTCCATTAGTCAAGTCTATAGTCAAGTCCATTAGTCAAGCCTATAGTCAAGTCTATAGTCAAGTCCATTAGTCAAGTCTATAGTCAAGTCTATAGTCAAGTCTATAGTCAAGTCTATAGTCAAGTCTATAGTCAAGTCTATAGTCAAGTCTATAGTCAAGGCTAAAGTCAAGTCTATAGTCAAGTCTATAGTCAAGTCTTTAGTCAAGTCTATAGTCAAGTCTATAGTCAAGTCTATAGTCAAGTCCATTAGTCAAGTCCATTAGTCAAGTCTATAGTCAAGTCCATTAGTCAAGTCCATTAGTCAAGTCTATAGTCAAGTCTATAGTCAAGTCTATAGTCAAGGCTAAAGTCAAGTCTATAGTCAAGTCTATAGTCAAGTCTTCAGTGAAGTCTATAGTCAAGTCTATAGTCAAGTCTATAGTCAAGTCCATTAGTCAAGTCCATTAGTCAAGCCTATAGTCAAGTCCATTAGTCAAGTCTATAGTCAAGTCTATAGTCAAGTCTATAGGTAAGTCCATTAGTCAAGTCTATAGTCTAGTCTATAGTCTGGTCTATAGTCTAGTCTATAGTCTAGTCTATAGTCTAGTCTATAGTCTAGTCTATAGTCTATTCTAGTAGTCTAGTTCTATAGTCTAGTCTATAGTCTAGTCTATAGTCTAGTCTATAGTCTAGTCTATAGTCTAGTCTATAGGTCTAGTCTATAGTCTAGTCTATAGTCTAGTCTATAGTCTAGTCTATAGTCTAGTCTATAGTCTAGTCTATAGTCTAGTCTAATAGTCTAGTCTATAGTTAGTCTATAGTCTAGTCTATAGTCTAGTCTATAGTCTAGTCTATAGTCTAGTCTATAGTCTAGTCTATAGTCTAGTCTATAGTCTAGTCTATAGTCTAGTCTATAGTCTAGTCTATAGTCTTAGGTCTATAGTCTAGTCTATAGTCTAGTCTATAGTCTAGTCTATAGTTAGTCTATAGTCTAGTCTATAGTCTAGTCTATAGTCTAGTCTATAGTCTAGTCTATAGTCTAGTCTATAGTCTAGTCTTATAGTCTAGTCTATAGTCTAGTCTATAGTCTAGTCTATAGTCTAGTCTATAGTTCTCGTCTATAGTCTAGTCTATAATGTCTAGGTCTATAGTCTAGTCATAGTCTAGTCGATAGGTCTAGTCTATAGTCTAGTCTATCGTCTAGTCTATAGTCTAGTCTAGTCCTATAGTCTAGTCTATAGGTCTAGTCTATAGTCTAGTCTATAGTCTAGTCTATAGTCAGTCTATAGTCTATCTATAGTCTAGTCTATAGTCTAGTCTATAGTCTAGTCTATAGTCTAGTCTATAGTCCTAGTCTATAGTCTAGTCTATAGTCTAAGTCTATAGTCCTAGTCTATAGTCTAGTCTATAGTCTAGTCTATAGTCTAGTCTATACTAGTCTATAGTCAGTCTATAGTCTAGTCTATAGTCTAGTCTATAGTCTAGTCTATAGTCTAGTCTATAGTCTAGTCTATAGTCTAGTCCTATAGTCTAGTCTATAGTCTAGTCTATAGTCTAGTCTATAGTCTAGTCTATAGTCTAGTCTATAGTCTAGTCTATAGTCTAGTCTATAGTCTAGTCTATAGTCTAGTCTATAGTCTAGTCTATAGTCTAGTCTATAGTCTAGTCTATAGTCTAGTCTAGTCTATCTAGTCTAGTCTATAGTCTAGTCTATAGTCTAGTCCTATAGTCTAGTCTATAGTCTAGTCTATAGTCTAGTCTATAGTCTATCTCTATAGTCTAGTCTATAGTCTAGTCTATAGTCTAGTCTATAGTCTAGTCTATAGTCTAGTCTATAGTCTAGTCTATAGTCTAGTCTATAGTCTAGTCTAGTCTAGTCTATAGTCTAGTCTATAGTCTAGTCTATAGTCTAGTCTATAGTCTAGTCTATAGTCTAGTCTATAGTCTAGTCTATAGTCTAGTCTATAGTCTAGTCTATAGTCTAGTCTATAGTCTAGTCTATAGTCTAGTCTATAGTCTAGTCTATAGTCTAGTCTATAGTCTAGTCTATAGTCTAGTCTATAGTCTAGTCTATAGTCTAGTCTATAGTCTAGTCTATAGTCTAGTCTATAGTCTAGTGTATAGTGTAGTCTATAGTCTAGTCTATAGTGTAGTCTATAGTGTAGTCTACAATCTAGTCTATAGTCTAGTCTAGTCTATAGTCTAGTCTATAGTCTAGTCTATAGTCTAGTCTACTCTATAGTCTAGTCTAGTCTATAGTCTAGTCTACTCTATAGTCTAGTCTAGTCTATAGTCTAGTCTATTGTCTAGTCTATAGTCTAGTCTACAGTCTAGTCTATAGTCTAGTCTATAGTCTAGTCTATAGTCTACTCTATAGTCTAGTCTAGTCTATAGTCTAGTCTATAGTCTAGTCTATAGTCTAGTCTATAGTCTAGTCTATAGTCTAGTCTATAGTCTAGTCTATAGTCTAGTCTATAGTCTATAGTCTACAGTCTAGTCTATAGTCTAGTCTATAGTCCTATAGTCTATAGTCTAGTCTATAGTCTAGTCTATAGTCTAGTCTATAGTCTAGTCTATAGTCTAGTCTATAGTCTAGTCTATAGTCTAGTCTATAGTCTAGTCTATAGTCTGGTCTATAGTCTAGTCTATAGTCTAGTCTATAGTCTAGTCTATAGTCTAGTCTATAGTCTAGTCTATAGTCTAGTCTATAGTCTAGTCTATAGTCTAGTCTATAGTCTAGTCTATAGTCAGTCTATAGTCGTCTATAGTCTAGTCTATAGTCTAGTCTATAGTCTAGTCTATTAGTCTAGTCTATAGTCTAGTCTATAGTCTAGTCTATAGTCTAGTCTATAGTCTAGTCTATAGTCTAGTCTATTGTCTAGTCTATTGTCTAGTATATAGTCTAGTCTATAGTCTAGTCTATAGGCTAGTCTATAGTCAAGTCTATAGGCTAGTCTATAGTCAAGTCTATAGTCAAGTCTATAATCAAGTCTATAGTCTTGTCTATAGTCTAGTCTATAGTCTAGTCTATTCAATAGTTTACAATATAGTTTAGTCTACAGTCTAATCTACAATGCAATCTATAATCTATATGCCTGAATTTATACTACACAAGTTCAATGGAAAGCCCACTTACCAGGAATATCCCAATGACATTGAAAAACTTCACCTAATATAGGATTGTAGGGTTTTTTGGCAACAGCACTTTTACGTCCAGCATGATAAGCACTTAAATACCAACGACAAACCTGTACAATACGTTCACGTGGACTATCTAAATCGGCAATCCTAAAAGAATACAAAACAAATTAAAACTATGTCTAAAAATTACAAATTAATTTCTAAGGAACTTACTTTAAAAATAAATCTGGATGGGCAAAATAGTCAGCATACATTTCCAATAGGGAACGTCTTTCTAATATAAATGTTGGCAGTACAACTTTTGTCAAGTCCATACCAATTTTAACTTGTGACAATAAATGTGATATCATTGATCCATGGGCTTCCATGCTAATACTTGTATCTTCTTCCTCTTCGTATAAGGCATCATAATCGATGGATTCTTGATTTGAAAGTGAATTTCTGTTAGCAACAACACCAACGCCACCACCACCACCCACACCCTGTTGTGAACTTGTGCCAACAACATCAGCACCGGCAATGTCACTAACCGTACTGGAGGCTGTTTGATATTCGTCAATTTCAGGCACAGAGGGTGGCGGTGTGGGTTCCGTTTTATTATTTTGTTGTTCAGGTGGTTTTTCATTTGTTGGAGACGTTTCAACGGAAAATCCACGAGTTGCACTGAAAATAAAAAACAGCAAAATGGAAAATAAATGAAGATGAATTGTATTGTGTATCTGTTTAAATATAAAAGGTTTTTAGCTTATTGTTTTATAGCTTAAGTATTGATTCCTTTAGTTTTCAATATACATTTTCCAGTTAATAGTTTTTGTTTTTATATTTTTTCCTTTAAAGCATTTTCTAAGCGCCCAATTTCATAGCCTAGATAAAAAGTACTTTATTTTAATAAATATTTTTTTAGGAGATTATTTTCCATGTTGAATTTTAAAATAAAATGAAATACTTAACATACATACATACACCCGGTCCATTCATTATGTATTTCTCTCATTATTATTATTTTTTTCTTCTACATATTTAATATTTAATGCACGCAAATATGGCATCATGATCAAAAGTTTCATACTATATGTGGTTTGTTGTCTGTTGCTTTAGCATTATCCCACGTACTCTAGTTATTCCACAAAACCCCATTAGAAATTATTTAAAATATGTAGAAAAAAGGGATAGAAAATTTATTTCAAAAGAATTGAAAATTAAATTTTCTTCATACATATCAAATATTACAAATGGTGATGTGGAAAATAATCCTAAAATTGTATTTAAAAATTCTATGAAAAAAATTGCTGGCGTCTGTTAAAGATTACAGTAAATGCATACATAAACAAGTAAGAGTTCTATATTCGGCTGTGCCGAATCTTATATACCCTTCACCAAAGAGAGTTTAAAAAAATGGAAATTTCACTCTTTTACATTTTCATTCCATTAGGATATTATATGCCTATTTATATGTTTATAGGTACAATCGGGTGCCAACTTCAGTTTCTTGATCAGCAAACTTGAAATTAGTGTATCGCTACCCCTTCTTTAATAGATTGTTGTGATTCCAAAGTAGTACTTCTAAAGAATTTTCAAGGGCTCAAATCTTTGGCTCTAGTTGTACATTAGTTTCGAATCAAATCTTGGAACTGTTTGAAAAAAATATTAAAACAAACCAAAAAAGAAATTTATTTTTATAGCGACAAGTCGGCAACTGATTACAAGTCCATAATAACATTTGCCCGATTAACAATTATGTTGCGATGCGAAGTCTGAAGTCTGTGGTCCAAATGTTCTTATGTGCGAGTTTTGGAACATTTTTATAGTAGTTCTCGACTTTAGAAGAGTGTACAACTAAAGGTTACTTAACTGAATATGGATGTTAATCTGAGAATTTGGAGGAGAAAGCTCTGCTTTCTGACAATATCTGTTCATAGGTCGCCCACATGACGCTATGGTGGCCCTCCACAAGTATTGTAAATAGTCGACGCACAATAGAGAAGAGATTCACGGAGATCTCTGGATTTCCTCGCTAAGATAGATTAGAGATGTGAAGGGTCATTTAGTAGTTGTAGCCAAATTCGAAAGAATCTTCGGCCCCTTCGGTATTAATTAGGGAAAGTCCACTTCTGAGAGTCTACTCTTTTGGAGAAACATGCGCCAATCAGTATTTCGTGGTTACTTAACTAGATGAACTGAATATGGATGTTAATCTGAGATTGTCGGATCACTCCTTGGGGAAACATGCGTAACTCAGAAATTGGAGGAGAAAACTCTGCTCTCTGACGATATCTGTTCATAGGTCGCCCACAAGACGCTATGATGGTCCTCCACGAGTATTGTAAATAGCAGACGCACGGAGGAGAAGAGATCTCTGGATTTCCTCGCTAAGATAGATTAGAGATGTGTAGGGTCATTTAGTAGTTGTAGCCAAATTCGAAAGAATCTTCGGCCCCTTCGATATTAATTAGGGAAAGTCCACTTCTGAGAGTCTACTCTTTTGGAGAAACATGCGCTAATCAGTATTTTGAGGTTACTTAACTAGATGAACAGAATATGGATGTTAATCTGAGATTGTCGGATCACTCCTTGGGGAAACATGCTTGACTCAGAATTAGGAGGAGAAAGCTCTGCTCTCTGACAATATCTGTTCATAGGTTGCCCACAAGACGCTATGATGGCCCCTCCATGAGTATTGTAAATAGCAGACGGACTAAGGAGAAGAGATTTCTAGATTTCCTGACTAAGATGGATTAGAGATGTGTAGGGTCATTAAGTAGTTGTCGCCAAATTCAAAAGAATCTTCTGCCCCTTCGGTATTAGGGAGAGTTCACTTCTGAGAGTCTACTCTTTTGGAGAAACATGCACCTATCAGTATTTCGAGGAGACGATATCTCGTTGTTATCTAGCAATAGTCAGAAGGCAGTGGCATACTACTGGTGATGCAAAGGGAATCCAAGGTGTCGATCGGATTGATAGAATGCATCTCCACGAGTTATTGTAAATACCGGATTTTCTGGCAAGTCGTTAGAGAGATTTGAGAGAAACTACCCGTAAGTGTTTTTTTTGGAAGAGTCCTCCCCTGTGAGACTTTTCTACTTTGGAAAAAACTTCGTCACTCAGTATTTCTATATTTCTATATGCAATATGAAGTTAAGGAGATCCAAGGGTGTGAATCGAAAGGAGGCAATGGACGACAATCTTGTTACGCAAGATTTTTTGTGTCTCGTTTTCGTTGCCAGATTCGGAAGAATCAACGGTCTCGAAAATGTTATTTTGCTAGAGTATTCTTCTGAAAAACAGGATCTAGTGGCTGCTGGCAATCCGAAAAACTCCTTTCTCATGCCGGTTCGGTCAAAAGTTAAAAAATGATTCGTCTATAGTTGAAACGCTTAGGGCAGGTTGTAAGACATCACTTCTAAAGGCAAGGAAACTAACGACTAAGTAGTAGGTTATTAAGGGAAACGGATCTCTCCCACATCGATGGGAGGGCATAACTCCGGCCAGCCCCCTTAAGGTCCCAAAGTTAGTTGTCTGCTAATAGGATTCAAGTTGTGAATCAGGCATAGATTTCAAAACTTTTGCAAGCAGCAGGATTAATCTAAAAGTCCGGAAATTGGATACCATAATAATTGATACCGAAAAATCTTGAATGACGAATTGTAATTGACCGAAATGCAGCCGAATCGAATCATTACTTGTGATGAAGAATACATCCATTATGATAATCTAAAACGTAGGAGATCGTATGTAAAACTCCGCAAATTAACCGAATAAATACCAAATCCATGGGCCTCTGTATTTGGAGGGACCAAAATGGTATTCTATCTATTATGTACTACTAAAATCAGGCCCGATCATCACAGGTAACTTGCACCGAATGCAAGTGATTCGTTGGAAGTGAGATTTATCCGAAAAGCGGTCAGAAAATGTAATATTACATCATGACAATATGCTCGGCCACATGTTGTTATACTAGTTAAAAACTATTAAGAAAGAAGTACTTGGGAAGTTTTGCCACACCCACCTTATAGTCCAGACTTTGTCTCGTTTGGCTACTATTTGCTTCGATTGATTTAAAACTCTCTTCTTATTTGGTAGACCAAAGAACGATCTTCATCAATAGGTATTTTGGTCAAATCACGAGTCAAGTAATCCTTAGTAGTCATTGGACTCCTTCATTTTTTAGATACTGGAGTCGTCATAAATTACCCAGAATTGCAATAATACGAAGTTGAAGGCGGTTCACCAAGGGAACATGTTCTACACTAAGTAGTACAACAAATACAATCGACATCAATGCCAAATATCCAGGGCGCTAAGATAATACTCTATATTTAGTGGGTCCAAAAGGGTATTCTATCTATTATGTACTACAGAAATCTGGCCCGAATCGAATCATTACTTGTGATGAAGAATACATCCATTATGATAATCTAAAACGTAGGAGATCATATGTAAAACTTCGCAAATCAACCGATTAAATACCAAATCCATGGGCCTCTGTATTTGGAGGACCAAAAGGGTATTCTATCTATTATGTACTACTAAAATCTGATCCTATCATCACAGGTAATTTGCACCGAATGCAAGTGATTCGTTGGAAGTGAGATTTATCCGAAAAACGATCAGAATATGCGGCCAGTCATGAAAGTGTTCGGCCACACGTTTTAATACCAGTTAAAAACTATTAAGAAAGAAGTCCTTGGGAAGTTTTGTCCCATCCAAATTATAGTCCAGACCTTGTCCCGTTTGATTACTATTTCATCGACTGAATTCGAACGCTTTATCTGAGATAAGTTTTACTTCAGAACATGTTATTCGAAATTGGTTGATTCGTTCTTGGTCTCAAAAGATAAGATATGGAACGGAATCCATATCCATGGGAAATGGTACAAATGTTTAAAAATAGAAGCTCTTCGCCCCAGATACATTGATACGGACCCCAATTTGGGAACCGTTAATGTATATAATATAAGTATATTGTATGAAATAGTTGCTTTGGTTTCGAACAATACTGTATGTTCAATAAGGCGCAAATTGTTTAATCATCCTTTACGAAGTAATTTCAATTATAGCATTATTATTTAAGAATAATATGATATAAACAAATTATTTGAATTGTGATTTCCATAACGTTAATTTCTCTATAGAGAATTGTTCACGCATTAATGAAATTGAAACGTTAAATCTTTGATAAGGTTGCTTTTTAACTTTTTATGGAGGCTTAATGAAATGTCAAACAAATAAACCTTGACAATTCATTTGATAAATGTTTAAATACCAGAAAGCTCTTAATTTACAAACACTTTATTGACAAACAAACGGAAAACAAAACTGACAAATATGAAAGCAATTACAAAAATGCCAAGGAAATTTACTAAATGGAGGGAGGTGGGGAGGGGATTGTTATAAAAAAAGGCAAAGAGGGGGACCAGGGGTTAGTTGAGTTGAGTATAGAGATGTTACAAAAAGGGTCACTTTTTAAGTGCACTTTAGATGGATAAAGAAAAAAATATCATAAAAATAGAACTAAAGATTATATTATAATAAAAAAATTATATAGTGAAAGTGAGTAGATATCATTATATAGCAGTTGTACTCCTTCTTACCTTATGCTTACACGTTTAACCCACTTTTTAAACATGTTTTTTTTTTTGTTAGAGCGTTTTCTTTGGGGTTTTAGAAGTTTTTGAATAGATTTTTTAGAATTTATATTGCAATTGTATGCAGGTATGGACGACAGCAATGTTGTTGTTGTTTAGTTTGTTTGCTTGTTTGTTTCTTTTGCAATTGATTTTATATATAGTATACTTTTAGGATTGCATTATTTTTAAACTAGTAAGTGTATAAAACTAGGCTGTTTTCCAAAAATGAGTCTCACTCATACTAAAAATCAATTTTATGATTGTTTGCTGTTTGTATGTCATAAATTAAGATTTCTTTTTATATTACATATTAACATCTAAAATTTTTTATATATAGTTCCACATAGTTGAAGAAAAACTTTTTGAAAACATTTTGGAAAAAACATTAATATCAAAGTGCGTCATTGATGTTTCATTTCTTTCTTTTGTTATTTGGCAAGTTATTTATTACTTTAGTAAAGTAATACTAAAGAGATTTGTTTCTACAATTGTTACATATATGTTAAAAATATTTAAGATTTTTTTTAAAGTAAATTTTGTCTATTATATTATTTTAGTGTATATTTTTCTTTATAAATTTTAGTACAATAAATCTGCACTATTTTTTAAACAAAATTAAATTTTTTGTTAAAATTTTCTTTTAAAGCAAATTCGTTGAACTTTACACGAGTATGTCTATTTTCATACAATGTAATGTTAGTATTTTCGTGGTACTGAATCTTAAGTTCTCAAATTATATGGATTTTATTTGTTATTTAATGCATCCTTTTGATTCATAAAAAGAGAAAACTAAAATTTTAAGAGTCCTTTTGAAAAAAAACGAGTTTTAAACGCATGCTCACAGAGAGACCGACTAAATTGTTTTCAAAATTAAATCCTACTCAGTCCAAAAAAAACAGCATAATTTTGTTTTAGATTTTTCGCTATGTAGTCAATTTGACGTTTTCAAATGACAATTGTGGGGAAATGCGATTTAGCGGTTAGCTGGATATTTGGGTATAGCCAGCGTTTGGAGATTTCTAGTCTATAGTCTAGTCTATATTCAAGTCTGTAGTCTAGTCTATAGTCAAGTATATTCTAGCTTCTAGTCTAAAGTCTAGTCTATAGTATATAGTTTTGGCTGTATTCTAATCTATAATCTAGTCAATAGTCTAGTCTATAATCTAGTCTATAGTCAAGTCTATAGTCAAGTCTATAGTCAAGTCTATAGTCTAGTCTAGTCTAGTCTATAGTCTAGTCTATAGTCTAGTCTATAGTCTAGTCTATAGTCTAGTCTATAGTCTAGTCTATAGTCTAGTCTATAGTCTAGTCTATAGTCTAGTCTATAGTCTAGTCTATAGTCTAGTCTATAGTCTAGTCTATAGTCTAGTCTATAGTCTAGTCTATAGTCTAGTCTATAGTCTAGTCTATAGTCTAGTCTATAGTCTAGTCTATAGTCTAGTCTATAGTCTAGGTCTATAGTCTAGTCTATAGTCTAGTCTATAGTCTAGTCTATAGTCTAGTCTATAGTCTAGTCTAGTCTATAGTCTAGTCTAGTCTATAGTCTAGTCTATAGTCTAGTCTAGTCTATAGTCTAGTCTATAGTCTAGTCTATAAGTCTAGTCTATAGTCTAGTCTATAGTCTAGTCTATAGTCTAGTCTATAGTCTAGTCTATAGTCTAGTCTATAGTCTAGTCTATAGTCTAGTCTATAGTCTAGTCTATAGTCTAGTCTATAGTCTAGTCTATAGTCTAGTATATAGTCTAGTCTATAGTCTAGTCTATAGTCTAGTCTATAGTCTAGTCTATAGTCTAGTCTATAGTCTAGTCTATAGTCTAGTCTATAGTCTAGTCTATAGTCTAGTCTATATTCAAGTCTGTAGTCTAGTCTATAGTCAAGTATATTCTAGCTTCTAGTCTAAAGTCTAGTCTATAGTATATAGTTTTGGCTGTATTCTAATCTATAATCTAGTCAATAGTCTAGTCTATAATCTAGTCTATAGTCAAGTCTATAGTCAAGTCTATAGTCTAGTCTATAGTCTAGTCTATAGTCTAGTCTATAGTCTAGTCTATAGTCTAGTCTATAGTCTAGTCTATAGTCTAGTCTATAGTCTAGTCTATAGTCTAGTCTATAGTCTAGTCTATAGTTTAGTCTATAGTCTGGTCTATAGTCTAGTCTATAGTCTAGTCTATAGTCTAGTCTATAGTCTAGTCTATAGTCTAGTCTATAGTCTAGTTTATAGTCTAGTCTATAGTCTAGTCTATAGTCTAGTCTATAGTCTAGTCTATAGTCTAGTCTATAGTCTAGTCTATAGTCTAGTCTATAGTCTAGTCTATAGTCTAGTCTATAGTCTAGTCTATAGTCTAGTCTATAGTCTAGTCTATAGTCTAGTCTATAGTCTAGTCTATAGTCTAGTCTATAGTCTAGTCTATAGTCTAGTCTATAGTCTAGTCTATAGTCTAGTCTATAGTCTAGTCTTTAGTCTAGTCTATAGTCTAGTATAGTAGTCTATAGTCTCTAGTCTATAGTCTAGTCTATAGTCTAGTCTTTAGTCTAGTCTATAGTCTAGTCTAGTCTATAGTCTAGTCTATAGTCTAGTCTATAGTCTAGACTATAGTCTAGTCTATAGTATAGTCTATAGTCTAGTCTATAGTCTAGTCTATAGTCTAGGCTAGCTAATCTAGTCTATAGTCTAGTCTATAGTCTAGTCTATAGTCTAGTCTATAGTCTAGTCTATAGTTTAGTCTATAGTCTGGGCTATAATCTAGTCTATAGTCTAGTCTGTAGTCTAGTCTATAGTCTAGTCTATAGTCTAGTCTATAGTCTAGTCTATAGTCTAGTCTATAGTCTAGTCTATAGTCTAGTCTATAGTCTAGTCT